TTTGTTAGAGTAATATTTTGATGCTCCTAACGAAATATTTAATTTCTAATTCCAATTCAATGTTTCTAGCTCCTAACAGAAAAAATTGGTTTCTGATTCCAATTCATTAACCGTCTTCATGAAGTAGAAAATCTGCCGCAACATAAACAAAGTAAAAGAAGCTTTTTAATCCAAAACAAAATTGTAGTAAAAGAGGTACCTGATATTTAAATGTTGCCATGACTCCATTTACTGAGGGATTTCAAGTAGACCATGTAATAAGATCTGCAAATAGTAAGATTAGTATGATGATGACTGGAGTAGTTTGAAACACAAGAAGGAAAAAAATTAGTACCTCTTACATATACCAAAAATTCAGGAAATAGCAAATAGTAGTTTAAAACTCTTTTACCAAAACCTCTTTTCCTAGCAGATTGTTGCTGGAATGAATGATGTTATATCTCAGTGTTGGAGCATCAAGCATCTCCTGAAATTTGAAGTTTATGAAAAAAAAAAAGTTTGCAAGGTGTGAATATTTAAGAATAAAGACATACCTTTCCAATCAATTCTTGTAAGCTTGGGGGACTAAGGATTCATGCCTGAGTTCAGTAAAAAAACGGAAACATGAGTGAAAATTCTGAATTTCGCCAAGAATGTGGCTGAGATATCGTACTTGTAATCAATGGTTGGACAAGATCATGAGAGAAAGACAGTTTACCAGTTTATCGACATGATCTCGATTTTAAGACCAGAGCTCTTGTAGTTTCAGATTCTTCCCAGTCAGAAGCAAAAAAATTCATCATCTTGTCTCTGAAAAATTGAACGCTAGAGGAAAGTGAAATCAGTTTTCTGGGTATGAGAAAAAAATAAAACTTATCATTCTCGTCTTACGTTGATGGATTATTGCATGAAGTCGAAACAATTCTCACATATATAGGTAAATTTAAGGTTAATAGTGGTCATATCACCTTTTTTTTTTTTTACGCATGGTACATATCCTTGGTGTGTTTTGTATGCTATCTACGTTTTGTTAGAGTTTTAATTTGTTGCACTTAACGAAAAATATGTTTTCTCATTCCAATTCATTAAACCAATTTCTAAAGTCTAACAAAAAGTAAAAAATCTGTTGTAACATAACCAAAGTAAAGGAAGTTTCTCTGTTGAGCAAAACAAAATTGGACAAGAATCCTAAACTTAAGTCCTTAACAATGATGGTTAAGCGAAATCCAAAACAGAATTGTAGTAAGAGAGGTACCTGATATTTCAAGTAGACCATGTAATAAGATCTGCAAACAGTGAGATTATTTTGATGATGATTTGAAACTCAAGCAAAAACAAATCTAGTATCTCGTACATGTTCTTACCAAAAATTCAAGAAATAGCAAATAGTAGTTTTAATTACCAAAAACTCTTTTGAACAGCAAACATTGTTGTTGGAATGAATAATGTAATATCTCCTGAAATTTCAAGTTTATGGGGGAAAAAGTATGTGAGGTGTGAATATTTAAGAATGAAGACATACCTTTACGATGTTCCAATCAATACTGGTAAGCTTGGGGGACTAAGGATTCATGCCTGAGTTCGGTAATAAATTTTGGAAACATAAAAAAAAGAAACATGAGTGAAATGAGTGACCAAGTTTCTTTGAGATCAATAAAAATTCTGAATTTCACAAAGAAAGTGGTTGAGATATTTGGACAAGATCATGAGAGAAAGAAAATTTACCAAATATTTATCGCAATGATCTCGATTTTAAGACCAAAGCTCTTGTAGTTTCTCTTCCCGTTCAGAGGCATAAAATTCATCATCTTGTCCCTGAAAAACTGAATACTATAGTAAAATAACTTGTAATCAATGTTTGGACAAGATCATGAAAGAAAGAAAGTTGCCAAATACTTATCGCAATGATCTCGATTTTAAGACCAGGGCTCTTGCAGTTTCAGATTTTTCCCGTCGAGAGGCTAAAAAATCATAATCTTGACCCTGAAAAACTGAATACTAGAGTAATAAAATCAGTTTTTTGGGTGTAAGAAAAAAGAAGAGAACTTATCATTGCTCTGTCGGTATTTGATAATCCCTGTTTCGTTTTACGTTTGGAAAACATCAGTTTCACCGAATCCAACATGGAAGATATTTTAATTAAGGCTAGGTAGTAATTAAATCTGAGTAAAGTGCTCACACCTTGACAAAAACAGTCTTTGATGTGTGGCCCATTTCAATGCATTCCAAGACGAAATTAACCACGAAAAAC